AATTCTCTAAATTAAAATTTCCTGGAATATGGAGCCACATAGATTTTCCTTCCTTTCAGTGATCTATTTAAAAGTCAAAGATTTAATTCCTTGGCCCCTCTCTAAATAATCATTTCTTGCAAAGTTCTCCCAGATGTCTGTTATTTCTGGATGTATTCCAGTCTGAACTTTTGTACCTTATGTAGATATAGTAAAAGCAATTTCTTAGTTCAGAAAAATAAAAATCACTCCAAAGTACAGGTAAAAACCATTATCCTTGTGTAACCATGTGAAAGGTATGTATAGTAAGGTGTTACCTGCAAAATCTATAGGGATCACTCCAAAAGTAATGGGAATAAATTAGATGTGGAGAGATTCAGACTGAATATGAGGGGGGAACTTCAGGGAATCTACCCTGGCATGGGCTAAGGGAGCTTGTAGGGTTCCTACCCCTGCCCATCTGAAAAACAACAGTAAGTGTTTGTGCTGGGGAGTCTAGCTATTTATCCGTCTGCCCAAACAACAACAAAAAAAAACCCCACTGCCATTGAGTCGATTCTGACTCACAGGACAGAGTAGAACTTCTCCATGAGGTTTCCAAGGCTGTCAATCTTTACGGAAGCAGATCATGCCTCATCTTTCTCCTATGGAGTGGCTGGTGGGTCCAAAGCACCGAGCCCCCTTTTGGTTAATGTCGAATGCATTAACCACTATGCCACCAAAGCTCTATGCCCAAAGACAGGGCATTAGAAAAAATGACTGTCCAAGTTCCTTTAAAAACTAAGAGTCCGTGATTCTTGGGGAAATTCTCAACAATCCCTGGGTACTGGTAAAGAATACCCTTTCCAGAACAATGTTGTTATGTGCCGTCGAGTCAGCCCCGACTCATAGCAACCCCTCCTTGGGTTGCCGAGGCAGTATCACTACGGAAGTAGACTGCCCAACCTTCCTTCTGAGGAGTGGCTGGTGGGTTTGAACCGCCAGCCTTCTGGTTAGCTGTCAAGTGCCTTAGGCACTATGCTACAGAGCTCCTTTCCAGAACAATAGCTACATACATTTGGATTCAGGCACTGATCTCTCAGTGTGCAGCAGCATTATATGGAGTCTGATGCTGCTTACTAAGAGCACATACATTTTCCATAATACCCACTTTACAAAGTTTTCACTACAAGGAAAAAGGTGAATGCACCTTGTCATGTGTACAGTTTATTCTGCCTCCTCCCTCTTTTGTTGGAGGTGAAGTTCTCATTAGTGTAGTCTTCACAACAGACCTGACCCTTATGTACCCAATTTGAATGACAGAAAATGTCAAGACCATATATATATACTACAATTTGCAATGGAACTTCTAATTCAATATTCATATGATTGTTTAGTATTTCACCCCAAGATGTGGCTATAAAGAAGGAAGAGCTACTTTTTATACAAGTGCTGAGGTTATTCTCAAATGGAATGGGGAAAGGGACAAACGTAAGTAGAGGGTGTGTGAAGCAGGATCTTTCCTGCATTGCCAATAAAGGATTTCCCCCTTAATCACCTGTGGCCATTGATTAATTTAATTCTGAATTGCCTTCAATTCTCTTCTCTGCTTTGCAGACAATAAAAGGAAGGCCAACGTTATGATGCACTTTTCTGCACTTGGCATTTTTATGAATCATCTATATTTGAATATAGAAAGTACCATGGACTGCTAAAAGAACTAACAG